TGGTGATCTCTTGAACAAATCACCATTAAGGCGCCAAGATAGGTTCCTCAAGAAAAGGGAGGAACAAGGGAAAACAGGGGGTTTTTCCCGTGGACCGACCCGTGATGAGATCCTATTCGCGGGCCCATTACACTTAGTTTGGAAAGAGTACAAATGCAAATACATACAAAATAATATAAAATACAAGGTTGTGCACTCTACATATTTGTATTTGTACTCCTTCCAAACTGAGCCTTAGTTGCAGATTATGATGCCCATGTACGGATATAGGTATGGACACGGATACTGGAAATGGGAAATGACTCTAGCATTTCCTAAAATCCTTTTGGACCCGTCCTTGGAAGTTTCCAGAATTTGGAAAGGCTCCACAGATGGCCTCTTCTCTTGTTCCTCTTTCTTTAATGTCCTTGCCTCACCTAGCAACCTGACTGGGGACTTCCCTGTAAAAGAAATTTGGAGTAAGCCTATCYCCCCMAAAATTCAAGCCTTCTATTGGGAAATTTTCCTTGCTAAGGTTAATACGTGTGATATGCTGCAGAAAAGAAGGCCTTTTGCTTGCCTTTCTCCTCACATGTGCTCCCTTTGTAAGGAAAGTGGTGAGACCTTGACATACCTTTTTTTATCTTCTTCTTTTGTGCATCATGTTTGGGATTCTTTTTGTCTTCTCTTTGGTTGCTGGTGGGTTTCCCCTCAAGATGTGGCAGGTCTTTTTAACCGTGACTTTTTGAGGCAATCAAAGAAAAGAGGGAAGGTTATGTGGAAAGCTACAAAGGCAGCTATTTGTTGGGTGATATGGGAAGAAAGGAATAACAGAATATTCTTAGAAAAGAGTAGAACCACRGAGGAGGTGATTGACACAATCAAAGTTAAAGTAGCCCATTGGGTAAGTTCTTTGCATATATTCCAAGAGTTCTCAGTCACAGACATTATAAGATCCTGGAAAGAAGTAGCACAATCTTCAAGAGTGAAAGAGAGAGTAAGGTTGGAACGGAAACCTCCAAATGGTAACAGAATTAAACTGAATTTTGATGGAAGTTCATTTGGGAATCCAAGATTGTCAGGTATCGGGGGAGTAATCATAAATTCTGAAGGGAGGATATTAGCATTATTCTCTGGACCTATTGGAATGGGCAACTTCTAAAAGCTGAGGTAATGGCATTGCTACAAGGATTGAAGATAGCCAAGCAACTAGGAATGAGGCAAATTGAGGTTGAAGGGGATTCCAAGGTGATCATCTCTTGGGCTAATAACAATAGAACTACTCCGTGGACCTTCAAACAAGTGATAAGGGAAGTGGAAAGGGTTGCAAGGGAGATAGAAGCAGAATTCAAATGGGTTAGAAGGAGTGCAAATGGGCTAGCTGATTGTTTTGCTAAACTAGGGGCTTTGAGGCAACAMTTGTTTTGGGCTGCATTGTAAAAGGGACAGAAATATGTATTCGTGTGGGACTTCTTGTTGCATACATGCTGTATAACTTCTTAAATCCAATTTCAAATAAAAGTTTCCTTTGATTATCAAAAAAATATGAGTATCTCTATAATAGCTTATAGCCTTATACCATGCTTTTATTTCTACTTTGTAGTTAAACTTCATTTCTCAAGACTTATGTTGCTATATTTAATTACATTTCTAACAGAAAGATTTTTTTTTTTTTATTGTATAAATGTGTCAAAAAATACCAATTTACATATTTTAAAGTTTTAATGCTATAGAATACATCTACAAGTGTCTATGCAGTATTTGGTGTTGTATCTGGAAAGTACCATATCTGACACCAGAACACTAGGCAGGCACGGGTACTGGGTATCATAGGTTTCAGATAGTGGTGAGGTTGTATAGGTTTGAGATTTGAATTTTGAATTTCTTGATGACATTTCCCTCTTTATTTTTTCCTTTGTTTTCCTGAACTGGCAAGATGGCTTAGGCAACATTTGATGCATTTACTGTAGACAGTAAATATAATCCATTGCACACATTTTTCAGTTTATTAGTTTTCTGATTATTCATTTTTACCCTTAGTGCTTTCTTTTCCATTTGTCTTCTTCCCTTATGCAGATCAGGGTGACATTCATTATCAGCATAAAATTAACTCTGCTGCTTAAATCTCTGATTTTATTTTTTGTTTTTATGAAATTCTTTATAATGCTTAAATAACATAATACTGTTCAGTTGTACTAAAAAATTCACATTTTGAGGCTTAAGATATCTCATATATTCATTTGATTTACTTAGTTTGTATCTTGACATTCACAGAAGAGGAATGGACAAAGTCGTATGAAAAGCCTCAAACTCATAGAACTAAATCCAAGGGGCAGAAGATGGAACTGATGGTGCGCCCTTGCTTTCCTCCTATCTACCATGAAAATCAGATGCCTGATGCTAGTAGCATCTCAGAAGTGGTAGCAATTGTTGACAATGTTTGGAAGGTGGGAGATTTGGTTGATTGGTGGTATACTGATTGCTATTGGTCTGCAAAAATTACTCGTATATTGGGTGAAGATAAGGTTCAGGTAAAGATCTTTATTATTTTCACGATATATTTCCATTTTCATTGCTACCTTTACAAGAACATTACTGGAATATATTTTGACATATTCCCAGTGTATTACAAGGGTCAACAAGTTGGTTTTCAATTTACATGTACAGAGATATAATCCAATTAACATGTTTTTATTTTCACTTGGACTCCATTTAATTTTCTTTATGAAATATTTTTAATTATATAATTTAAAAAAATATAGTTGATGTTTAATATTTTAAACTCTTGTCGAAGGAAAACAGTGTGTTATTACAAAAGCATATTCATATTTATATCATAATTTTTTTTTATTAAATGAAACATAAGTGAAGTAGCATTAACAAATAAAATATTCACAGTAGGTATTATATTATAAATTTATAATTTTTTAAACCCTTAGGCTATGTTTGGTTTGAAGGAAAAGGTAGGGAAAGGAAGGGAAAGATAAGAAAATCTATACAAGATTTGTAAAGGTTTCCCTATCTTTCCTTTCCTTTCCCTACTTTTTCCTTCAAACCAAACRCAGCCTTAAGTTTATTGTAAGTGAAGAAAGCTGTCATCTTGAAATTGTGTGATGACTTCAAACGCATCATTTTATAACTTTATAATGATATAATTTTTTAAAAGAGTTTGTTTTTTATAATTAAAATATGTTTTCTTATATTAGTGCTTACAATGTTATAAAATGTTGCAATAAATCTAGGTGTAATTTTTGATATTTCCAAATGTTTCTTATTTGCAATAAATCAAGTCCTAAAGGTTTCTTTTCTTGTGCATCCTTTTTTAAGTCTCTTTGTCCTTGGAAAGAAATTTGGGTTCTGCCGATTCCCCCTAAATTTAAGGCTTTTTGTTGGGAAATGGATCTTGGGAAAATTAACACTTTGGATTCATTGCAAAAGAAAAGACCTTCTCTATGTATTTCCCCGAGTTGGTGCTCTCTATGTAAATCCGATGGTGAATCTTGCTTTCATTTACTAATCTCCTGCTCATTTGCTACAGAAATCTGGGATTGGTGTTTCTCCTTGTTTGGGTGCAGGTGGAATATGCCAGTGGAGATTAAGATGTTGTTTGATCAATCAATCTTTGCTTTTCGAAAGAGAAGGGGAAGAATAATGTGGAAATGCACTAGAACAACAATGATCTACATTATGGGAAGAAAGAAATGTAGGAATCTTCCAAGAGAAGGAAAGAAGTAAACAACAAATTTTGGAGTGTGTAATGACTAGGGTTATACATTGGCTACAAACATTTGACCTATTCAAATCTTTCTCCTTTGATGATATTTGGAGGAACTGGAGCTTTGTAGCCTTTAGTGCAGTACAAAAAATTAAAGCAAGGATGGTTTGGACACCTCCCGTTGAAGATTGGCTGAAAGTAAACTTTGATGGGAGCAGTCAAGGCAACCCAAGTCCATCTGGCATAGGAGGGGCTGTAAGAGACAAGGAAAGAAATTTAAGAGCCATCTTTTTAGGACCAATGGGAAATGGAGACACTTTAAAGGCAGAACTATATGCGTCCCTACAAGGCATTCAGGTTGCAAAAGAATTAGGCGTGGAGAAATTGATGATAGAAGGGGACTCCAAGGTGGTGGTGGGTTGGCTAAAAGACCCAAATTCAGTGATTTGGTGTTACAGAAATGAAATGAAGAAGTTCAAATGGCCAACACAACAGATGATTTTAGCTATACAATGGGTGGGAAGGGAGGCCAATGCCTTGGCTGATTCTCTTGCTAAGCAAGGGGTAACTAGGGATCAGATGTACTAGGCCCTTTTGTAAATCTATTATATATTTTTTTTGTTAAAGAGTGAGGCTGCACCTTGCGCCTCACACTGGGATGCTTGTAAGTTGTAACAGATGTTATCCTTTGACTCTAATGAAAATTAATGAAATTTATTTATCAAAAAAAATATTTCCACCAAAACCGACATTTTAAACCTTGATTGTGATCCATATTAACTGTTTGGTGTGGCTGAACTATTTCTGCATCCATTCTTTATATGTTTATAGTTATGTGTTTGCTTGGGACATGGGCTTTTATGTTCTTTTAAGCATAAGGTAATGCATGGTATTCTGAACATAGATAAATCATGTACAAAAAGACATGTACAGTGAGTCACTATACAATGTATGCCCAATACACAAAAACGATAGGCTCACTATTTTCTTCTCAGGTAAACTGTTTCAAAACAAAAAAAAAAAAGTTTGATGAGGAATATCTTTGAAGATCTCCATCACTGAACCTTGACTAAATTGCACCCTCTATTCTTCTGATCAGCTCATTTGGTTCATCTGTGACCACCGGCATGTGGTCTGATAAAGGTCTAGTAACTGCCTCTTGGTACACTCAGGAAATGCCTCTTTCCACCATTACGGGGACTTCCTGATTGTTTGTTGATGTATATTTAGCTTCATCCATAGGTAAATCCATGAGTTCATGCCTGTTGATGAAGCCAGTGAATCCTTTCATACCTTGCATTTGCTTGGGTCCACCCTTCTTCTCATGCATATGTAGGATGGTGTTGAAGTCACCTCTCACACACCAAGGGCCTTGCCATTTCTCTTTGATTTGGTCTAGTTCTCCCCAATACTGTGGTTTGAGTTGATCCTTGTTAGGACCATACACACCTGAAAGAATGCCCCTGAAATCTTCCTCCCTCCATTTCAATTACAATTGAAATATCTTTTACTGTTTCAGTTCATCTTTTATTTAGTAAAAGGGGCTATTATTGTAAGCTGAGCTGAGTTGGACAATTTAATAGAAATAGGGGGTCTGGCCAATTGGGACTTGGGAAACCATTCTATTCTCCTCAATCGGCAGTCTCCTTTCTTCTCTATTGGACTACTTTCTCTCTTTTTCTTCTTCCTTTATATTTTTGGGTTTATTCTTTCTGCAACTAGGGTTGTTTACATGGTATCAAAACAGGGATTCCAGTAATTCTTTTTTCTTCTTTTTTCTTCTTCCTCTCTCTCTCTCTGCCCCCTCTCCCCCTTTATTTTTTTCCTCTCTTGCTGCAATATGTTTCTTTCTTTTGGCTTCTGAGAACTAAATGGTCTCAGCTTGTTTTGGGTGAGCTATGATGGTTGGGACCATTGTTATGGTGAAGGCATGGTGATGTGTGATCCTTTATTTGACATAGATGGAGAGGGTTTATGGTGGTATTCTGTTTGTGGAGCAATAGTTGAATGGAGATCTCGATGGTCGATTGTTATGTGGCCTGATTTTGATGAGTATTGTGCTGGTTGGTGAGAATTCTATGTGAAGCATACTCAGTGTTTTAAAAGCGCAAGGGCCAATTTGCGCCTGAGGCGCAAGGCACGCATCTTTTTAAGCAAGGCGCAAAATTACGAAAAAAAAATAAAAAAAAAGTCAGAAAATTCAAAAAAATCCCAAAAAATAAAAAAATGCAAAAAAATAGATATTTTATCCAGGCTTCAGAGGTTGAAGTTGTCTGACTCACCTAAAAGCATACCTGATTGCCTTGGCAGTTTGAGGAGGTAGTGTTGTAGTGGTTGAGACAGTAGGAGTGATTCTTGGGAGGCCGAGGTGGTCATAGAAATTTATTTTAGGAACTTGTGTCAAACCTGTAATGAGTCAAAAAGTTTGCTTTCGGAAAATCTGAGTAATAGTTCCTAGTTGCTTTGGAATTTTTGTTAGTTTTGAAGTCATCCAACTATAAGTTTGAGTTGGATAGTGATTAGGAGTCTTTTAGATTTAAGTGTATATAAGGTCTATAATTCCGCTGTAAAGGAGAATGACAATACAGAATAAATCTTTGCCTTTTTGTTTCTTTTGGTGTGACTATGATGTATAAGAGCTTATTTTCTTTAACTGCATTTAAGCCTTGTATTAACTTTGTTGTGATTCTATGCTTGACAAGGAAAGAGAAATATGTTTACTCTAACATTATTTTTCAAATCATATTCTTCTTTTAATTTTCCATTTTATGATTCATTATTCTATTTCTGGAAGACTTGATCAATACAAGGTTGTCTTACATCACATATACTAAGGTAAAGGGACAAAAATTAATCTATGGCTTCTACATGACTCGGAGAGTAATTCCAAAGGAAAAAAATTAATCCATTGTTTATTTTTTGCTCTCTTGTAGGTAGAGTTGCCAAAATGTCCAGTGGGTGAGGGAGGTTCTTATGAAGCTTTGTGCAAGGACCTACGTCCATCCTTGGACTGGTCTCCAGAACATGGCTGGACAGTGCCTATCTCCAAGGTTGCTGCATTTTTTGCACACATTTCTTTTGAACAGTGGACCTTGCTACATGGACAAATTGAACACATAATCCATGATACATTGATACCTGGATGCCTGTGCATGGGTGCCATCCAGCCGGGTCCTTGTCCTATCTGTGTAACATAACATATAATATATTATTGCAAATATTCATGTGTTTAAGCTTACCAGGAAAGTAACATAAATCTTTAGCTTGTGACACTTAATAATGCACATAAAAGGGGCTCATTAGGATTGAGTTTGGCCCAGGACTTGAAGGAATACAGGTATTGCTATTGCCTGTGAAGAGCCACAGGAATAGATGGTTGATTAACTATCTTGACAATACTCAAAATAGGGTGGTTAATTAACCACATAGAAGACTAAGTTGATCTCCATTTCTTTATTATTGTGGGTTGCATATTCAGTTTTAGCTGACCACATATAGCTGAGATAATTTGTTGGGTGAGTTGCATATTCAATTCTCTCATTTTTACTTTTATGTTTTGGCATTGGTGGTTACAGGATGGTGAAACTTGTCGTTATTGTGCTCGCTTACTTCAACCATATCAAGGTTTGCAGCCTGGGTTATATTTTGGTTTTGTTCATTAGCTTGCACTAATTATATTACTTGGTGGTATGCTGTTGGTATGGATATTTAATCCAAGATAAATTAATATTAATAACTTAGCTAGCCATACTGATTTAGTAATGCAGCTCTAAAGATAATCTAAATAAAGATGATTGTGTGTGTGATAGAAACTTACATAGAGGAGGGTAAATCTGGAAAAGGCAGTTTGCTGTGAACAGGGATGCATGGATCTTTACCAGTGAAGTCATGCCGGACAAATGGAGCTTCACCATGCTCAATCATCTTAATTATGGCTTCATTGATGAAGATCTATGTTCTTCATCTCCTGGTGCAAATGGAGAAGAGCAATGGACAATCTCGTCTTGTTTTCTTGAATTAGTCTTAGTGACAGAGAACATGATTGCCTTGGACTGTCCTTTGGTAGTGGTAATTCTGAATGGCCCCTTAAGTATCATAGATTTCCTGGTGCTAATTTTGCATTAGTTTTGGAGTTAGTTATGGTGAAAATTGTCAAATAGTTAATGGGGTTTTTGAGAAGTTAGCTGGGATATTTTATTGCTCATCAAATCCACATTTGGTGGTTTCAAGCATTTAAAACTTCTGAATCGAGATGGGGAGAGGAAGCGACAAAGAATTTCAGGCGGTGAACAGGTGGAAGACTGAATTGAACATCAAAGCGAAGAAAGTACTACTTGAGAGTGGAAGGGTTAGAGGTAAGAATCTGCTAAAGGTTAGAGAAGACAGGAATGCGACGATACTTCTGGTTGAGGAAGCAGGCCTATGGGTGAAGGGGTTTATCAATGGAGTACTTCAACCGATCAGAATAGTAGGGTGGAAAAACATATTATAGCTGGAAAGGAAGAAATACGAAGTGGAGCTGAGGCATAACAGGAAAGGATGGTTCATTACCATCACAGAACACTTTGGCGATAGGAAACAAATGGTTTGTTTACCGGAAGGGAAGAAGACACAAGGTTGGACAGCTTTTGCAGGTGGGTTACAGCTGTTTCTCATCTCTGTTGACAATCACGTACATAAGGAGCACAAGCAAGAGCAGAGTACAGGAGACAGCACTCCTAAACCATCAAGCCAGTCATTAAAGCAGAGTTCCTTTAAGACAATAACAAGCTCAAATAGGGGGATGAAATTCTGGTTTRAGGCTGTGCAAGATGATTGGGAGCGGAGAATGGTGATAACAGCCAGCAAGGATGTACAGGATTGGAGGAAGTTACTACAATATGTGGTGCTTAACTTGAAGCTGGAAACCGAGGTCGCTCTGAAGCCATTCTCTGATAGGCCAATTTTCAGTTTCCCTGAAGTATTGGACAGGTGGAGGATGGGTTTGAATGCGTGTTAACCAATGTCTATGGACCGAATGACTATAGAGATAGAATGCAACTTTGGGAAGAACTGGCTGATATAAGGGGTTTGAATGCGTGTTAACCAATGCAACTTTAGGAGGTGACTTCAATGTAATCAGATTCTTGGAAGAAACAAATAGTACTAGGCAGAGGTCAACCATGAGCATGAGAAAATTTAATCAATTTGTGGATGCCTATGGACTTAAGGAAATCCCATTGTCACATAGCTGTTTTACCTGGTCCAATCTCCAAGTGAACCCAGTATGTTCCAAGCTGGATAGGTTCTTATTTTCAAATGACTGGGAAGAACATTGAGGAAGTTTGAATTCTAGAACACTCCCAAGGGTGACATTAGATCACTGGCCTATAGTAATTTGTAAGGAGGAGGTGAGAAATGCAGGCCCCACCCATTTTAGATTTGAAAACATGTCGCTTGGACACCCGAGTTTTATTAAGAAGGTCAAAGATTGGTGGCTTGAGAGTAACCCAACAGTGAAATGGAGTGGAATGAGGTTTCATAAAAAACTCTTAACATCTGAAGGGTAGAATTAAGGAGTGGAATTTGTTAGAGTTTGGGAGACTAGAGGAAAGGAAACAAATGGTGACTGCTCAAATTGAGGCATTGGATAGTAAGGAAGGGAGGGGATGTTTTACAGAAGAGGATAAAGAGCAAAGATGGAATCCGCGTAAACAATTAGAGGACTGTCTTTTGCAGGAGGAAATACGTTGGAGACAAAAGTCAAGGTGCAAGTGGTTGAAAGAGGGAGATAGAAACACCAAGTTTTTTCATGCAATGGCAAATGGGAGGAGGAGAAAGAATTATATCTCAAGTTTGGAGATTGAAGGGACAACAATTGCCAATCAAAATGAAATTGCAGGGGCTTTTGCTAATCACTTTAGGTCAATCTTCAGAAGACCCTTAAACAATAGGGTTTGGATTGAAGGATTGGAATGGCCTACATTGAAGTTGGAGGAAAAGGAATGTGTGTGTTTTGAAATGGTAGAATACTGATATGTTTCATTCTATTGCCAATTGGCATATTTATACAGTAAGYTGTTGCAACAAATAGAAAGAAAGAAAAATAGAAAGAAAAGAAAA